GCCCCCCGCTCCTCAGCTGCTCGGGACATCCCCTTCTCTTCCACTCAACCACCTCCTGCTCCTGAGCGCCCTGCCTCTGTGGCTCGTCGTGAGCCGTCTCCCTTATTCCGCATTTTGCGGAGTCTTTTTGGTCTTTGCTCTGCGGAGGCTAAAAAGAACCGCCAATTGCGGACGAAGAAAACGGCTCGTGACGTCAAGTTCCTCAAGGCACGGTATTATGAGGACCACCACATTGATATGCCTCCTTCTCCTCCGGGTTTTGAGGCCGAGCCAGATGAGCCAGAGGATGAAGAGATTGAGGATCCATTTGCTGGGTTGCCTCCTGACTTCGACTTCTTTGGATATGGACATGACTATGGCTATCCTCCTCCACCACCTCCAGAGGATCCTCCTCAGGCGCCCTTCGCTTGAGTCGTCATCTCATCGTCCTCTCTTTTTGGTGTCTTGATGCCAAAGGGGGAGACTATCTATCATGTTTTTAGATTTTCTATCTGTCCTTAGGGTCGAGCACAGTTGGCTTTTATCTGTATGAGACTATGTGTGTTTTTTTTATGTTAAGTTTAAAGCTTTGTAAGACTGTTGTTTAATTATGGATGCTTGAGATGTAATGGATCTTATTATGTTTAATGTGGTGCAATGCCTTATTCTCTTTATATGGTGCTTATGATGAGATGTAATTATTCTTTTGCATGTGATGTGTTGGATGTGATGAGCATATGTGATATATTTGTTCTCTTGTGAGCTTCAATGTGGATGCAAAGATTTAGGGGGAGCTCTCCACTTGCTTTTATGCACACTCTTAGGGGGAGCTTTCACTAAACCTTTGCACCAAAAACCTCAAATTATATTTATTCTCTCTTGTGTTCTAATCGTATTGTCATCAATCACCAAAAAGGGGGAGATTGAAAGTGCATCTAGGCCCCTAATGATTTTGGTGATTAATTACAATGCGATTAGAGAGGACTAACATTTTTATTTAAGCAAATGTGAAGGTTGTTATGTCCTCAATGAGTTACCGTAATGCATATCCCGCCAAATACGTTGATGTGATGTGATGCGGCAAAGGAGCAAATGGTATATTGTAACTTTTCTTTTCATTTGAGTCAATAGGAATGCCGCACTATTAAGAGGGATGATGCATTGACATATGAGGAGTGATCAAAGTGCTCAAAATCAATTTTTAAAAGTGTTTCTCCTCAGTTTGATGTGTTCTGGAAATTTTCGGAGTTTTCCGAAAGTCATTTTCGGACTTTCCGAAAATGCACAGAACTAATTTTCGCTTCTGGAAATTTTCGGATATGTCCGAAAGACATTTTCGGACTTTCCGAAAATGACTGTGAAGGCAAATGTGGTTCTGTTTATTTTCGGACTTTTCCGAAATTGATTTTCGGAGTTTCCCAAAAACTTCAGCAAAGGCAAAAATCGCTTCTGTGTATTTTCAGACTTGTCCGAAAGTGATTTTCGGACTTTTCCGAAAACATCCAGAATGATGTTTTGGTGCTGAAAATTTTTGGACTTATCCGAAAAATTTTCGGAATGTACGAAAAATATTTCGTTGACTTTGCTGTTGGTGCTGAGCTGGAATTTTCGGACTTGTCTAAAAATCTTTCGGAATATCCGAAAATCTCAATTATTGTGCATAACGGGCAGAATTTGGGCTGTGGCTATAAATTGCCCCCTCCCCTCACTTGTGAGTGCTGCTGGTTCCATTCCAATCATTTGTGCCCTTGGCTTGCTCTCTCTCTCTAGCACTTTTGAGCCTTGGTTTCTTGTTTCCCCTCTCACCCGTGTTCGATTTGGATTTGGTGTGTGTGTGAGAGTTGTGGATTCGAGTTTGTGTGAGTGCTTGTTGTTGACTTCGTGAAGATTTGTGAGCACTTGCATCATCTCCGGGAGTTCTTTGCTTCATTTGTTACTCTTGGAGGTTGAGGACTCCTAGGCGGCTAGGTGTCGCTCCCGAGCCACCGATCTACTTGTGGTTGGCCGGGAGAAGTTTGTGAAGGTCGGATCTCACCTCCGAAAAGGAAGAGATACCCTTAGTGGAAGGAGGAGTGCTTAGTGCAACCTCTTGAGGAAAGGGTTAGCTAAGACCCGGCTTTTAGTGAGCTTCTCAACGGAGAGTAGAATCCCCTTAAGGATTCGAACTTCGGGAACAACTTCGTGAGCTTCATCTTTGGTGACTTTACTTCCTCCCTCTCCACTAGCTTTGCTTGTTTGAGCCGCTATAGGTCTAGTTGCTATTTGTGCTAGCATATTCTTGTTGTAGGCAACTAGATCTAGGATTTACTTTGCTATTTGTGCTGACTCCGAAAATTTTCGGATATATCCGAAAATTACTGCTTCCGCTTTTAATTGAATTTTTGAATTAGTCTATTCACCCCCCTCTAGGCCTAATTGACACTTTCAAGTACATCTAGCCCTCTAAGTGGACTTTGGTTGATTAATGATAAAATGGTTAAAAGACTAATGAGTTCATCAAGTTGAGTATAGATAATTAGTCCCAATGTGTTTAGTTGTGCATGGAGACCCCTACGAAAATAATGCACAACGACTAGAGAACTCACAGCTTCATCTAAATTATTAGTTTATATTTTGCTTTTGTGTTTAGGAAAGTTGTACTATCAAGGGATACCAGTCAGTTGCCCATGTTGATCTAAAGTGCTCAAAGTCCATATTATTAGATGAGACATTTTTGCACGACACTTGTATGGGCTCAAGTGACAACAGTAAAGCCTGCTCTGAACTTCTTGTCGTTTTGGCCGGAACTTTCAAGTAGCTATTTTCTTGCCAGGTGCTAAGTTTCTGCCCAGAACTTCTAGGCACTTTTCTAGTTCAATTATGTGAGTAACGATCACATGACATCATGGGGTGGGTATAAATTGCCCCTACCGATTCCAGCGATCTTTTAGGAATCCCTTCTTCCTATATAGTTGGTACCCATTAGAGCATTTACTCCTATAAAACTTGCTCCATGTTAATCCACGTCATCAACGCTTTTAAGCTGTTCGATCTAATCTCATGTTTTTCCCTGACCGTTGGATGAATACACACCTTACTATCCAGCCGAGTTAGCTTTTCACAGTTTGTTTGGCCCATCTAGGCCTATTGCAGTGCCAGGTGAAGCATCGGAGCGTCATCTGCCGGGCAAATTCTGCCCTACGCCTCTGCCGCCGTGCAATTATGCCACCTCTCCTTCTTCTGCCCATATCGATTCCCCTTCTTATTAACGTAGTATATCTACACCTGCCCCGTCATACTCGGATCTCAGAGATTTTAATCTTATGTGTGTTGCTGCTGAAGGATGGCAAGCTGACAGCCTACTACCATCAGGATCATGATGGCCAACTTGAGATAAGGGCGGCTTCATATTGTAGAAACAATGGATCTTGAGTTTGTAATACGGAATGAGCATAGCACCACTGATCGGAGAACCTATTGGATTCCACTCCAGCCATAACCCCGAATTCGTTGGTTTGTTAGTCCAATGCCCATTTTATATTTGCTTCATTGGCTTCTGTTTTCCAAGTCCAACAGTTAGTTCCATCGCTTCAGCACGGTACACCACCATCAGGCTTTACATCACTCTCTTTCTCTCTTCCACTCATACATAAATACGCACCATATTTTGGTATTTCTTGATTTTTTTTATATTCTTCGGTTCCTATTCAGGTTGATGAAATCTCAACTTATGATTCGGGAGTAATATATACCTTTTGTAAAGGCTACAAGCCTGTAATTTTCTTTATGATGGTCAGCTGTTTGAATTAGCTATTTGCTTTTCATTAAATTTATTTGTTATGCTGTTCTGATTGCCATGGATTGTATATATTCTTCTGTGGTTCCCTGTACACTAGATAAGTTTACTCTGTACACTACTGATAATTATCCATTTCAGTTTACTCTGTCCATTTTTACTGATAAGCCGTATGATTTAACCATCTAAACTGATTTCAGCATATATGTTTGCAATTCATATATCGTTGTGCTAGCTTACAATTATTGATGATAGCAATTCTGAAGTATATCAATATAATATCAATTATTTTCCCAGCTCCGCCGCCTCAATGGCCTGCCGGAGGACCGGGCGAGCGGTGGGCGCAGCGGGCGATGGCGCGGAGAGCGGCCGGGAAAGGTTTAGCTAGTCCTCGCCTCCTCCGCCGTCTTGCCGCCGACCCGGTCTCCGGCATGGGGAAGCGCGCGCGCCACGGCGGCTTCGCCCGGTCCCACTCCCCCTACTTCGAGTCCCAGCTCCGCCGCCTCATCACCGACGCCGGCCTCTCCGCCTCCTCCGCCGAGGACGTCGCCATCGCCCTCCGCTCCCGCTTCCCCGAGTTCCGCCGCTACAAGCTCGACCCCTTCGCGTAAACCTCTACCACCACTACAAGCTGCTCTCCCAACCGGCGGTGACTCCGGCGACAGCGACCATGCGCCACCAGGTAGGCCTTCTCTCCCGCCTCCTCCTCCGGCGCCACGTAAATGGCCGCTCCAAGCCGGCCACTGCGCCACCCCCGCCACCCCTCGCCTCCTCCGCCGCCGACCCGGTCTCCCCCGCCGCCCTCGACTCGCTCCCCTCCCCATCCCCCGCTATTCCCATCCCCACCCTCGCCGTCGCCGCCGCCCACCTCACCGTCGCGGCCTACCTCGTCGTCTCCGCGCCCAACTTCGACACTGCGGCGGGGGCGCTCTTCGCGCCCCCCGGCGGCCGCGTGCGCTCGCCTGCCGCCCTGTAGCGAGTGAGATAGGAATCGAGAGAGAGATGACATGGACCTTGACATGTGGCCCACGTGGCATTCACGTTGACTCGGCCGTCACGTAGGAAAAAACTGGGGTCAAGATCAAGACCACCGAAGAATCTATTCTGACCGGTTTTAATTAGTTAAGAGACGTCGGATATTTTTGCGGGTAGGGGACGATCTTGTAACTCAATTACAAGTTGAGGGACCTGCAGTGTACTTTTTCGGTGCCCAAAATGATAACTAAGCCCATTGGGCTGACTGGTGGGCCCATGCAACCACTGCCTCACCTCCTCTTTCCCCTCTTCCTGATCCAAACCGTAGCCCTCCCCAGTCCCCACTCTCGCCGCCCCTCGCTGGCGCCGCCGTCGTGCCGCCGCCGGTCGTCCACGCGCACCCAGATCCCAGCCGGCAGGCTGTCGCTGAATATCCCCGCAGCTAACCCTGCTTGGTGAATCCGGCGAGCAACCAGAGATCGGTGAGGACACACAGACCAGATCCCCCTAAACCCTCGATCGAATTCTTTTCCATCTCGCACGAACGTGTGACTCGGATTTGGATCCAGGCTTGCTTACTCCATCGTTAGCCCCATTCGACCACCCTAATGTATTTGTCTCTAACAAGTTCAGTGTAAGCGCGGAGGATCGGGATGGAGATTATTGTCATTCTCTCGCTTGTCGTTCTTCTGGTTCTTGGAGCTCTATTTGTACTACCGAAATCCCGTAACAAAGGTAGTACAATCTTGCATCAGCTCAGTTTATGAAATCGTTTTTTGCGGAAAGTATGACCTTAATCCAATTTCTTTCGTCGCAGGTAAAGCGAAGGAAGCCAGTTCAAATGCCAAATCAGTGGTAAGCTGCTCTTCATCTTTCATATGATCACTAGTTAGTGCTTATCCGTTGCACCATCTACATAAAATTAGTACAAAGCGCTGCAACCAACTCCTCTTTTTAACGAGTAGAGTAGGCCATTTTTTTGAACGGCAAAGTTTTTTTCTTCTTTTATCTGAAAAAAAAATACACTGTAAGATTTTTACAAAACTTGGAATGTGTGAATATTCACATGATGAGTTGTTGTATGAATTGTGTCACACGCTCGTCATATTTGCGTGTATTGTCTTTCTGCATCCAGACATTTAGGAGCTATACAAAAGAAGAGATCTCAGCACACAACACAAGGACGGATTGCTGGGTCATCATCAAGGATAAGGTTATACAAGTGCAACAGCATGCCGTTTCTTCACTTTACAATTCCCTGTAGACAGAAGTAACAAACATCAGTTCTTGGGGTCTTATTAAATTGTTGTGTTGAACCAGGTTTACGATGTCACCTCTTATGTGGAGGAACATCCAGGGGGAGATGCCATCCTAAACAATGCTGGTGGTGATTCGACAGAAGGATTTTTTGGGTTGGTAACTTTGTGTCTCCTCTACTATTCTTTGTAGCATGTGCTGTCAGTGCCATACTGCCATCTGTTGATTCATATAGGAAATTTGTAATTTTGTGAGTGAGGGGATTCATATAGGACTTGAACAGCCTTGTGTCCTCTGTTCATCTGTCAGTGCCAAGGGTTTTATGGTGTTGAATAGTTTTATCTGAAGTAAATATAATGAAACAATTAACTGACAGTGATGATTTCAGATTTACTCCTACAACAGCAATGATCACTTCCTTATATGTTGATAATTTTCTATTGTGCTTATAATGTTTGCTCATGTTAGATGCAAATAATTTGCTGGTTTGTTTGAGGCTTATTTACTGCCCATACCAGAGAAAATGTCAATATCATTAGGAAGTACACAGAAACATCTCTGGCTTACTTGCTGTAAATTCTACTGCCTTAAGCTAAAGTAAATGTGATGTAAACTGAATAAGGCTGGCTCAAGGTTGTTTGAATATTGCAGTAAGCTTCCTTTTACAAATCCAAAGTTTCCAAAGAATATTGATTTGGACATGGCCTATCTCCTCTAAACAGCAAGTTGTGACACAAACTGAAATAATGATATTGGTGGACCATATATCTCGCCCTTCATATACTATGCCATTTTTTTTAATGCAAATAGCATATACATGTACTTGTTCTACTAATATCTTCATTTTTCTGCTACTTTCTGCCCTTTTCAATCTGTTTATTGACATTCTTACCTCTGAACCTGCAGCCCTCAACATGGCTTCAGAGTCTTTGAGATCATTGAAGATTTCTGCATCGGCGAGTTGAAGCACTCATGATTGGAGGGATTTTGTATTGCATCCACGATTCTCTCATTGAAATCGAATTTCGAGAGTGTAGATTATTCAAGTTCAAGTCTTGCAATCCCAGGCGTTGGGACGCAGATGACAGGGCAAAAACATTTTTAGCGATTATGATCTAAAAGCTGCCCTAAGCTTCCGGATGTAATTTCGTTTTTTTTTTCAGCTGGCAATTTGTAGACATCATTCTGATCAGGAGCTGTCCTATGAATGTATTTCGGAACATGTTCTTCCTCGTCGTTGATTCCAAATTCCGAGACACTCCCTTTTGTTTGGATGATGATGATTTCTGAAAGCATAAACACCAGAGTTAGGTGATCTCACTGTACTGGCATATGTTTGAACTATGATTTGGTCCAACTTGCCACTTATGTCAAGATATGAATTGCTGTCCCTACAGTTTCATGCCTAGGCTCTCTCTCATCCATCCACTAATTGGCAAGATGGATAACAGAAAGGTTGAACCTTTTCTCCCCAAAAAAGTGAATCATTCTCCAAACAAATCTCACTTTTGGATTCATCAGAACAGTAGTAACAAAATCTTCTTATTTTCCTCTCTTTTGCTTGACAGAAACCAGCAAAATCCAAACTCCATGAGAGAGAGTTGGGAGAAACAAAAGGAAATTAAAGAAAGAATAGAAACAAGAGATATCCTAAGCTAAATTACTGCTTACACCTGCACTGATCTTACTTAGGAAGAAGAAGCTCAAGCCTTGAAGAGCAAAGCTTAAGCTTTCCTCTTCTTCCCTCCTGCCACCATGGATGGACAGGGCCTCTGCTCTGCTCTGCTATGGCTTTTCTTCCTCATAGGAAGAAGCTCGGCGTGCCGACGATGCCGCCGTACACCGCCGGGTCGAAGTCGAAGCAGTAGCTCATGAAGTCGGCGGCGTCCATGGCGGCGTGGTCGGGGGCCGACGTCACGGTGGCGAGCGCCGACACGACCTCCTGCAGGTCGCCGTCGCAGCAGCGCCAGTCCCCGTACCCGGCGCCGCCCAGGCCGTACGAGTCCGACGCCACGGGCGACGCCGACACGCTCTGCTGCTGCTGCTGCTGCTGCAGCGGCGGCGCCGGCGCGCGGTTCTCCGGCGTCAGCGGCGTGTTGGTGTCCGTGTTCACGGTGAGGCTGGCGCTGAGGCTCTGCAGCAGCGTCTGCGCGTGCGGCCTCTTGGCGGCGGCGGCGCTGGCGGCGCCCGGGCGGCAGGTGTGCTCGCCGTGGTAGACGACGTCGAAGAGGGAGGCGTCGTCGTCGGTGCGCTGGACCTGCTTGGTGGCGGTGCATCCCTGCGTGTTGCGGTGGGTGCAGCGGTAGTAGCCGCGCGGGTGCTTGGCGCCCAGGATGTCCTTCTGCCCGTACTTCCTCCAGCTGTGCCCGTCGTCGGCTGGCCCCTCCGCGCCGCCCGCCGCGCTCACCCTCACCTGGCTCGTCCACCTCGCCGTCGTCTTCCTGCCATACACCAATCCAACCCACAATTCGATCAGCCAACCACCAATCAAACAAACGCTCTGTTCGATGCTCTGTTCTTGGTGGCGATGCTCACCTCTTCTTGGCGTTGGTGGTCCGGAACGGCTGGTGGTCGGAGCCGTCGCTGAGCGGGCTGGGCGTGCACGACGTCAGCGCCGGCATCGGCGGCGCCGTGTCCGCGAAATGCGCGCCGCCGCCGGAGGCGGAGGAGAAGGACCGGGTGGCGATGCCGATGGACCTGTCCGTGAGCGCGACGATCTGCGCGACGAGGCCGCGGCAGAGCTCGACGGAGCACGGCGCGCTCAGGTGGGCCTCGAGCTGCCGGAGCAGCCCCTGCACGCGCACCAGCTCCGCCACCACCAGCTGCGCGCCGCTCCCGTCAACAACGCCTTCCATTGCCTCGCCTCAGCTGCTCTGATCGATCGAACACCAAGAAAACCCAAAGATCGATCGCCGTCGCAAAATTGGGAAGCCAAGAATCGCTCGCGCCAGGTGTTCGCGACGAGGAGGAGGAGGAAGGAGAGGGAGAGTGGTGAGAGGTGAGCTCGAGGCGAGCCTTCTTATAGAGCGGGGGAGGAAGCGCGTAGGAGGAAGAAGATGAGGAATTTCAAGTGAAGTGAGGAGAAGAGAAGAGAAGGGGATTAGTTTGACTGATGGGGATGGTTAAGACTGGGATTTGATTGGCCGATGCCATATCGGGTCGGGTCGGATCAACCAAAAGTATACCGGTATTTGCCCATTGCCAAGTGCTGATATCTGGGGGGAAATTTGATTACAAATCAATTTCCATATCTTGACTACTAGAAGAAATTGGAACTTTAACCACATATAAACACCAAATTGCCTTGCAAAATTAAAACCCAAGATTTTGACCAGATTACCGATTCTAAATCTTAACTCCATGGATAAAGAATTATATAAAAAAAGAGGACTTGGAAGCGATTACGTTGCAAATCGACCTTATGAGAAATCCCCAGAAAATTCCTTTGATTTTTGTAGTTCTGAATATATTAGGGGAGTAGAGGAGAGAGGTGGTAGTGAGAAGTCACTTGGTAGAGCGGAGAGGAAAAAGAAAGGAGTTGGGCGGTAGGGCCGGCCCCAACACATGGAGCGTAAAAGGGATTGAAGTTAATGTTGGATAGTACTACTCTGTCTAAAAAAACAAACCCTAGCTACGAACCTGGATACGCATATGTCCAGCTTCGTAGCTAGGATTTTTTTTATGGGACAGAGAGGGTAAGCACCAAGATCCTGGCACCTACCTCGTGCCACGTCAGGTCGCTAGCTCGTCTGTTGTGCCACGCTAGCATGGGTTCAGCACCAGAAAAACCGGTGCTGACATGTTCAATCACAACACTATCTTAGTCTAGCGTTGAGATCTACGTCCATTTCTAAAATAAATTTTAACCATGCTCTATTTTTAATATAGTTTTTAAAATTGGTCGTTTATCAAAATTTTGGCAAGATAGAGTTGGGTTCAGCTAGACCACGGCTTAACCCAACGAAGACAAACATGAAGCCCTATCTTCCAAAGCATTTATGTGAGAAAAAAACATAAGTAAATACTTTTGAATATGAATCAAATAACATCAATTTTATGTTACATAAATTATATACTAGTAATATAGTACAGTAATTGTTGTTCAGCTTATTTTAATAAAACAAAATATTTTAGCGGGACGGAGTATCATTTTATTTATTATGGCTCATAGTACAATGGTTCTGTGGCAAATTACTAATTAACCAAAATGTTGTTAATTCCAAAACATTTTTCATGGAGTTATGTCAAAACCTAGGTAAAACTACCAAAATCTGAAGAATTATTGATTTGACAAAAATTCCAGCTTTACCTAATTTTGGTAAAAAAAAAATTGTGTCCCTTTGGCAAAAAACAAAAGATAAGTTTTGGTGCATCTATTCGCATTGTTTGCGAGGGTCGCCTTTTATGTTCACAATTACTTTTTATCAACGTATAGTGGTATTTGGGTGTTTTGTTCATTGCCCTCAACAAGTACAACTAAAAGTTGATAGGGTTAGAAATGATAGAAAAGTAACAATTGCCTGCGTCTTTGTTTCTTCAACCCTACATGGCTCCAAAAGTACTTTTATCCACTGCGTTGTGCCGTTCATGCTTAGCAAACTCTGGTTGATTGTTCAGCTAGATGGACGTAATAATTTGAAATTCTGTCTTTTGTTCTCCTTCTCTATTACTAGTAATACAAGAGGCAAAGCCTTTGCCCTTTTCAAAAAGCAAATTGATAAAATCTCTCTATGTTGGTTACTACATCTCTTACAAAATATAACAATCTAAAACCAGATGAGACACATACATCGTAATACTTCGATGTTTTAGGTTGCTATATTTTTGTAACAGCCCACTGTTACAAAATAAAATATAACAATATAAAACCGGATGAGATACATACATCTTAATACTTCGGTGTTCTCGATTGCTATATTTTTGTAACAGCCCTCTCTTCAGAACTACGTAGCCAGTCCATCCAACAGGCATACCACATTTATACTTTTATCATCGCTTTGTGTAAAAGGGTCAACACAGCAGTGATATGGTTGAAGGGACAAGCCCTTACATATAAGTTAGTTCCACTCTTACTAAACTACTAAGTTGATACTAAACATGCGTACACATATATCATGGGTCATACATACCTTATTTTAATTGGACCAGAATGTTACAATTTTGGAACGGATGTAACGTAGAACATAATTGTTCTTGAATGGTTCAAAAGAGTGTTGCAAATACTTCAGCTAGTAACCTCACCACAGACATGATCAACAGTGACATTTCCAAGTCCTAAAGATCAATACATCACAACTGCCAAATAGTACAACTCAAGCTCGGAAAAGTTCCTATCATCTTTCAAACATGTGGTACACCCTTAATTAACCTTACTCTCCTGTCCTTGATGTTGTTTGACCATTTGAATTAGCTTACCGGGTTTGGTCATCGATGACGAGGAACCGACCCGCTAACGGGATGAACTAATAATAACTGGTAGTAGGAGCACCAAAACTATGAGAATCTTGGACCAGTCCACGGTCTTACAATGCCACTACTACTAGCTAAACCATTAGATGGATGGATGCAAGTGAAATTAGAAAGTCCAAATTGCTAAAGGCTGCTGACTGATTCAACACTTCCTCTCTGCCCTGAAAGCCTTTTCAGTTCTTGTTTTTATTTAATTTTGTTTTAAAAAAAGTGTGTCCTGGTCAAGTTGAGGCACAGTTAATCTCTGGGTCAACATGTAGGGCACATAATTTGATTAATCGATCGGTAGGTGACAGAAACAGTATAAGTCCAGTCCAATGATGTTGTTATTAGGCTAAGCTGCGTGTTATGTGTTTTTGTCTTGGACAGTTTGGTTTGTTGAGCGCTTAGGTTAGGCTGGTCTTAGTTTATAACTTATCTTTTTAATTTCGTTTTGTACTTTTGTTCATATTAGGTTGTGTCTCCCTACACCCAGCTTTGATATGCATTTGTATTTTTGTTCCATGTTTGATATATGCAGTATTTTTATTCCATGTTTGTATTTTTAATTTGGGTCACTGTTGTAAGAACACTTGTTCACAAACGCGGAAATAATATTTCTCTTTAGATATAATGTATCTGGGCTGCCCCAAAGAGATCAGGAAAGGTATTAGTGTAATTGGTTATTTTTAGTGAAAGTGGGTAACTATTAATTAAGGACCTTAACACCTATACTCCCTTCATCCATAAATACAAGGGGTTAGATACTTTTTAGTAGAAATTAAGCAATGGTAGGCAAAATAATACTAGATGAAGAGAGGATATGATTGGATTGGCACATTAGATCGATAAACCGCAAAAAATACATGTTTTCTCTCTCTCTTTTGGAATAGGGGAAGGTGGGGAGTTAAAAAAAAAGCTAAAAAGTTGCTGCTAATGGCTAATCATATTGCTAAACTTTTGCTCACCTTGGGATCCCAATTCTGATAAATCCAAGTGTCGTAATACCTTATATTTATAAATATAGGGAGTAACACTTACTATATTTTAGTACGAAGGAAAGGTAGTAGTATTAAGGTTGTAAACAATACTGAGAATTCGGATGTCTTTTTTATGGATGCTACTCTTAGTATATTATCCATTCTTAAAATGTATACGTTCTAAAGTTGTATATGATACTTGTGTAAACGCAACATATATATTAACCCTTTTGGAGAAGTGGTAAATATGCTATGTTTATCTTTTCTTGAAACAACCCTACTAATAGCAAGTTCATGTTGACATTTCATAAATGGAGATCTCTCACCTAGATAAGAATGACTGTTGGCAAAAATAATAGTAAGAAAAAGGCCAGGGCTACATAAATAACGTGCAGAACCATTCTATTATTACGATTCTTTTCTAACCCACACGGTTATTAATTAATTACACCGTTTTTAGGTTGTTGCTGACACGGTTTGTCTCATCGAGCAGTCGTAAAGGCAAGGAAAAGCAGGTGGTTAAGTCTAAATCCATCCTAAAGCGGCTTAGTTTTATAGATGCAAATGATTGTTTAATTAAGGATTAGCAGCAGGTGAGGGCGATGGCAAATGACTAGTATAGTACAGTAATCAAGATGACGGTCAGAGGAACTTATATTTTCTGGTCGAAGAAAAGGGTTGGAAAGTTTGACCGGACGCAGGAATCTTCTAGCCTCTTTGCGCGTCGTTAGGAATAGAATACACTACTAGAAGGAGAGGGCCACGTGTGCGCGTGACGTCAGACTACCCACCGGATATGACGTCGTCAAGGAGATTATTTTGAACTGATGGTTTTCTTGTAGAATTGTGGTACACACGGTTAGATGATTATTAGTGCGCAATCGATCTGTTCTTTTTTTACAAGTGTATTTTTTATCCGGCCTCTATATCCAACCGAATTTATGTAATATTTTTAAATTGCGAACTTAGCCCCTTAAACAACCTATTCTAAAAATCACTCTGATGGAGATTTGAACTCGGTAGCTATGTTACTCAGGTCACTGCAACTCCTAAACTATATGCACTTTCACCAGAGCAGTCGATCAATTCTAGGGCCATCGGATCATGAGAGTCGCCACACGAGGGCCATTTATCCTTTTGAGAGTTCTATCTATGGCACAAAATTTTTATCACATTTAATGGTTATAGATTCGGACGGGCTATACTCATTCGAAAAAAATCTCACCTCTATTTCACTGGATTTTTCCATCTATACGAGCAAGATTTATTTAATGGTCCAGAAAAAACGACTTATTTAATACATATACACCAAACCCTATCATTTCTTCTACTCTTAGACATCGTCCCAGCTCATCACACCTCCAAATGCTTGAAGCGTACCGTCCCGATCGCCCACCACTCATCATGGCTTCGGATTACTACTTCTCGTCGTGGACCAACAAACTACTTCTTCCTGAGATCTAGCAAGGTGTCCCACCTTCCTATTTCATTTCCGGTGACTCTCGTCACCATATCCGCTATGACTATCCGCCACTACCTAACCAGACCGAGATTTTGCCACCATCACCATCGCCCACAAGCCTCCTTCA